AACCCAAATGGCTCCTGCAGTCACCATCAGCGCCAGTCAATGCTCGGAGATGTCGCACGTGCGCGTTGCGGGACATGAAGAACCACCAGAGTCGGAGAGCAGGTGGGTCTGAAGAGCTCTCGTTTTGTCCGTTGGACCTGGTGTCGGACAAGTTCGAGAATGTCCTGCGCGCAGCCAAGTACGTCAAGGGCTGTGAGGACCAAGCCAGGCTGGCAAGGATTCTCTATCGCAACCCTACATTGCAGAAACTCTTGACGCATCAGAAGGTTATGCGTGATGTGGGGCTACATGGGCCTTCGGCGCAGTCTCGAGAGCAGTCTCTTGCGATGACCTTGCGAGACTGCACGATGTTTATAAAGGTAGGCCATTCGACTCCGTCTATGTACGAGACGATTGGCTCACAGTATTAGATTCCGCGTGACGAGATGGGACCAGTGGAAATCCGCCTTGGAGACTTGGATCTCAAAACTGGAGCTGGTGGAAAGGCACAGTACTGGCTCAATTTGGAAAGCCAGTTGATCGCAGGAGGCTGGTATCTGGGCAACAATAGTGGCTTGTCCCCGAGTGAGTGCTTACTGCAGCGTTCTTTGCCTTAATGGCATGCCTAGTTGCTTTGCAGTCTCCTCACTACGCTCGCTTCTCTATTCTACTGCGAGCCTTGAAGTTTCACCATGGCACCATGTTTTAAACATCTAGATGAGACGAGGTCTCGGACATACTCGGTTTTATATTTCGGTTATTAATACAGGTCATCCAATCCTGGCGACACCTTTCGGACATTCTTATGGGCGGCTTTTGTTTTGCATTTAATGTATATTAGACCACCTTTAAGATACAGACACTGCTACACATGGCTGATCATATAGCTTTTTTCATGTGCGTCAAATCCCTCGATAATAATGCCCTGACTAGTCCGTATTTAGTTAAGCTCGAGTCCGCGCTTATGATATCATACATCCTTATCTACAGTCTTCCGGGGAAAGGGGTCTAGACCATTATATCCGAAGGGTCTAGACAACTGCTTTCGATACAACAGAGGCCATTATTTCGATGAGGGATCGTCTTAAGTATCAAAGTACAGATTCGATATTGTTAGGGCTCATCACAGTCGTCAAACTCAAGATCATCAACACGTCGCAGAATCTACGTAGGCCGTCAGAGCTTGGCATCCAGTCCTCCATACGCAGATCAAAGATCAGATAGAGCTTCAACCGATACAATTGAAACCTGCTCGTTGCAGGGATCATTAGAAATAGGGATTCTATGTCTATAGACTGCTGTATCTGTATATTGGCAAATGCCTTCGATCTGATTAGCCCCGTTGAACTATCGGATGAAAAACATCAATAATCCATAATTCCGTAATTCCGTGTTTGCTTAGATATTGGTGACTACAGATTATGTCAACATTATCCCACGTGGAGTGGCTCTTTCTATAGCATATCCGACCCTCGATAGATATATAACGGCCCCTCGACTGTGCGGAATTATTCTCCGTTCACTTTCTCCACAAGCTCAGGTACAAATACAAGTATAAGATCATGGCATCCCCGCGACTTCTCTCTCGTTCACCTTTGACTTCAATCCTTCGTCTCCCCATCCAGACTACCAGCAGAGCAACCCTCATCCCATGCACCCTATCAAGAGTACATAGATCCTTTACTTCCTCCCAAACCAAAGCGGCACCACCCAAGATGTCCAACACCGACACGCTCATTGAGCTAGCCAAAGCCCGCCGCACAATCTACAAACTCGGCAAGAACAGCCCCGTCCCCGACTCCAAGATTGAAGAGGTCGTCAACGCAGCCATCCAGCACATCCCCAGCTCCTTCAACACCCAGTCCACGCGGCTCGTGGTCCTCCTGCACGCCGAGCACGAGCGCCTCTGGGAAATCGTCATCGACACCTTCATGCAGCTCGTCCAGAGCGGCGCCGTGCCCGAGACGACATGGAAGAACCAGACCCTGCCCAAACTGCAGGGGATGAAGAATGGTGTCGGGACGGTATGTCTCTGTGTCAGGCAGTCTCTGAAACGAATCCTTGTAGCTAACCCATCGCTACAGATCCTCTTCTACGAAGACCCAGCACACATCAAACCCTTCTCCGAGAAATTCGCAACCTACAAGGAGCACTTCCAGCCCTGGGCGGAGCACTCGAACGCCATGCACCAGTACTTCCGTACGTTCTCCTCCCCGTATCAGCTGCACTTGCGCTCGCGCATACTAATATCCAAGGGGGGAAACAGTCTGGACAGCCCTCGAGTCCCTCGGTTTCGGCGCAAACCTCCAACACTACAACCCCCTCATCGACGCCCCCGTCGCCAAACAATGGGACATCCCCTCGGAGTGGCGCCTCATCGCGCAACTCGTCTTCGGTAGCCCGGAGGGCGGACCAGGCGAGAAGACCCAGAAGCCCATCGAAGAGCGGGTTAAGATCTTCGGCAAACTATAACAAACTGACCTCATCCTCGAGCCAGTACACTAGAGGCGATTAAAGAGATTTAGATTAGAGATTATATATACAATAGTACATATAGATATATACCCAGCATGAAGTCATCACTCATCACTGCACTGGCCACACTTGACGTCAAAACATCAGGAGGGCAATATGATTCATCTTTGTTGATACCCCTGTCCCGCCCACCTGGACGGAGGAAAGTTGTAGTCCTCGTACCCCTGCCCGGCATATCGACTCTGAGGAAAATCATACGTATCGTCCAGGTCTTGCTTGGCGGCTAGGACCCATCCCGCGTCTGATAATCGTTGGCGGAGTGCCTTGAGACTCAGTATTCGCTTGAGTTTGGCGCGGAGGTCGCCCATCGTGGGTTGTATGTATATAATTGGTTGCTGGAGGCGGCAGAGGCCGTAGAAGTATAGGATGGTGGGTGTTCGATGTGCGATGTCCAATATTCAGTGGAGCACGTAGAGGATGTTTCGAGTGGATGATCCTGTGGTCCCAGTGGACCTTTTATTTCTCAATGCAGAAATTCAAATTGAGACCTGGTATAATATTTGGGTAGAGGAGAATGGTTCTCTACTTCGCTGCTGGTGATGTGACGGCCCAAAAAGAGGTGACGTGAACGTGAAATCAGGATGTCTTGGACAACCATTTGACCAGCTTCGAGCATTCTTCATATTTATAACTCTCTAAACGGCTCGGACCGCGAGTCCAATAACCAAAATAAAATTACACAGTTCAAAATTTCTACTGAGTGGCGAGAAAATGTATCGAAAGGGATGAAATGCGAGGATTTTCCGAGTTTGAGCCGAAGATCGTTGTTGTATGCATACATTAACACCTAACTACTACCTAGTCCGTACAATAAGAGGAAACTTGGTAAAGTTACCGTTCGCGACAAATGGTCAAATCAGGCAGTCCAACACAGCAGAACAACTAGTTGCAGGCGAGAGCTCCAAATCAATCATTGATCCCTGAAGAGGGTATAAAACAAGGAACGGCAATCAAAGATACAAGCACAAACTAACTACAAGGACTCGTGACTCAACGAGATGTTCGGTACCAAAATGCCTCCGGATCCCCCAAGCAATCTCCAACTGTGACCGCTGTCGAACAGATTAGCATATGATAAGTGTAATCACATTATCAATAGATACATACTTTGCAATCCTCTCGCGCGGATCTCCTCAAGCATTGCCCTTGTCAACGTATATACGGTTTGCTCATGCACATCGTGGGACAGGATGATGCTTCCGCCGGCGTTCAACTCGGCTAGGAACTTCTCAAAACTCCGCGGGATCAAATCGGGATGGTCATTTTCATAGTCCTTCGTGTCGATACTCGCGCTGATGACATGGTACCCGAGGTCACCCATGGCCGACAACACAACCCCGTTGAAAGCGAGGAAAGGCGGCCTCATGTACGTCGGATAGAATCCTAGGACTTGCATAAAGGCATCTTCCAGTTGGGTCATCTGCGCGACAATGGCGGGATAGTCCAATGAGGTGAGATACGGATGGCCCCAGCTAAGTACAACTGTGAGCTCCTGCAATGGATGATTGAACCGGGGGATACGTACGTATGCGAGCCAATCTGATGGCCTTCTTCGAAAATACGCCGCACGACAGCCGCATCACCATGAAAGCTCCCTTTATTTTGGCCATTGAGGAAGAATGTCGATCGCGCACCGTATGCACTGAGGAGTTCCAGGAGATCGGGAGTGAAGACGAACGGTCCATCGTCGAAGGTCAAAGCGACCGTACCAGGAATGACGCATCTGTCCAAGATGGCTCCGAAGGGCACAGGGGAGTTTCGCTTTCCGATGGTCTCGTTCAGAGGAGATGCCCAGCTTTCGCGAACAAGGGTTGAGGCAGAGAGGAAAAGAACGGACATAGCCCAGAAGCGAGAGGAAACCATGATGACGACCGGCAGCTAAGCAAACGAGTAAGAATGAATAACGAGTGGGAAATATTGATAGTGTTTCAGTAAGTGGTATAGGTAAGAGTCTGGAGGTCTGGATAGGAACAATGAGAGGAAGAAGACAATCAGCATTGGACACAGTACACTCGGCGCAGAACATTTATAGCCTTCTGCCTGAGATGGAGAAGGGAAGACGAGGAAGGTGCAGTGCAGGATAAGGAAGGCGTGTCTGCCGCATCGTTGTGATGATAGCACTTGCAGTTTGAGTGGAAAGAATATGGGAAGGAGGCGATGAAAACTTCTAAGGATTGTAGAGACGCATGCTCTTTTCAAGGGTCTTGAGGGAGATGTTAGAGCATGCACTTTATGGACTAATACCTTCTTTTCGCACGGAAGATTACGATGGCATTAGAAGGCCAAGTGCATGATTCTCGTGAATGATCGAAAGTATATCTTTGTTAAGTCAGCATTCCATCAAGAAAGCTTTTCATCATCTTCCGAATCCCAGCTACATCGCGCACCCACACATGACAAATATAACTATGAATACATTGATATAAAGGTAAGGAGCACCGAAGAAAGACCGACGATTTCCAACATCGCAACAAATATAAGAGCGATCATGCTCTCTTGGTGTACTTCTTCATAGAACGTCTCTGGCCCTTTTGCGATTCACGCTCAAGGAACTTGCGCTGCTCTTCGGCAGTCATGCCACGGAGGAGTCGCTCTCGCTCCTCCTTCTTGATCTTCTCAGCTGCCAGCCTGCGCTCCTCTGCCTTTTCTTCCTCGTCAGCGCGGCGAAGCTTCTTGATTTCTTCTTCACGGACGTGCTTGATCTTGCGCATCACCTCCGGACGGAAATGAGCAGACGCAACAAGCTTGTCAGTAAAGCGAAGGAACTGATTGAACAGTGGCGTGGTGGCGGAGTAACCAGACGCAGACGAGGGGAGAGAGATGGAATAATGAATGCGCTTCCGGGGTGTAGTCTCCTCGATTCTGGAAGTAGTATTAGTCTCGGTGTTCCTTTTTAACCGAGGAATGACTCACTTCAAGGGCTTGTCGATGGGCTGGTCAGTGACAATGAAATATCTGAAAGAGTCTCCAGCCTTCTCGATAGCCTGGATCAACTCAGGAGTGAGAAGAGTATCGGTGATTTCGGCACTTTCTGTCATAACGGTAACCCAGGATGGTAGCTTGGCATTGTCCTTGGTAAAGGTCATCGACGCATCGTACCGATCCAGGCGGAACTTGCGCATGTGGTTCTTGTGCACAACAGCCCAGATGAAACCGTCATAGGCCGAGTTGTTCACCTTGAGGGACGAAGTATCGTTGGCGGGTACGGGAACAAGATCCTTCTCCCTGCCATCAAAGGTGTAGGCGACTGCCTCGAATGTCTCGGTAGGAGCCTGCCAGCTGTCGAAGAAAAAGCTGAGAGCATAATCGGACCAGTAAATAATGGGGTTGTACCGCTTGGGCAACTTGATAGACATGTCGACGAAGGCGACGTTCTGTCTGCCGGTGGCATAGGAGATGAACTCTTGCGCAGACTTCTCCTTCAGAATGGACTCCGGAGAGATCAGTTCCGCAGGAGCGGAATCGGCCTCACCGGTGGATTTGTGGACGCCATCGAATCCCACGACCGCGAACTCGCTCTGGAGAGCCGGCGCATGAGCCTGGGCCCATTCCCTGGCTCTCCGTCTATTCTTGCGCGTGCCCCAGAGGTGAAATACAACAATCAGAAGGATCAACGGCATGACCATTGCTTCCTGCATAAAGTCCTTCGGAGAGGTCCGCTCCCAAACTCGGTACCATTTTGTGTAGGGAACCGCGGTGGCACCCTGGGTGTCGAGGGCGGGGACCGACGACGACCCCGCTACTATGGACGCAGGGGACGGCTCGGGAGCCTTCACAAAGTCGGCGAAATCTATAAAAGCGACAAGAACAGGTCAGGGGAGCATGACAAAAGGGAAAAAGGAGCATACGATGCTTTCCCAGAACCGATGGGGCAGCACTCACCATCCTCGACTTTGGCTGGATCTGACGGCTGAGAGCCGCCAAACATATTCTTTAGCATGCCAGCCATGGTGGAAGGAAGACCAGATCAAACGGAACCTTATCGCAACGTGGCATAGGAGAGAGAGAGGGAGGAAGCGAAGAGGGAGGGAAAGGGTTGGGGTCGATTTGACGTTCGCGATCGGAGCTGCGCTAAGGTGGTTTAGTCTGTGGAGCCGGAGCCGAAGTCTGGGCAGTTCCCGTTGACATAACCCCGAGATCAGACTGACACCACTGGAGAGGGCACGAGCTTTCTCTAGGCATACGAAGACTTGGCATCAAGGGTGAAGATGGGATGTGCTCAACAGGTTTAGGATTTCAGTAGCAAATAAGGAATTATTGCCAGTAATATTGAAGCTTGAGTTAACACAATTTCGATTTCACCATCCCATCCTATGCCGAATACCAACGGCTAGTCGCTACCACGTTAGATAAAAAAGGAACAGAGAGAGATAGGAACGAGAGAAAGTGAGTGGGTGAGTGAGACAGCATGAGACAGATATACAGTTCGGACAAATGTGTGAGTGAAGGAGTGGTATCCTGCGCAAATACAACACCGCACAGAAGACAAAGAACGCCGAAACCTTTAGAAATACAGTTCATCATACAGAAAGTCTAGGACCCGCTTCGAAAGAGACACCAAGATGAATAAGATAGTCGGAATAACCAGCAATTAAAGGCATTGTCGTATCGGTCATTAAGTTTCCAGACTCGCTGGATTTTGAGGCACAGGGCCATGGAAGAAAGAAGAGAAGAACAAGGGACTTGAGGGTCCAGAATAATATGGATCAATGGCCATAGGCCGGCGGAGGAGACTCTTCTTGACTGTGGCGGTCCCAAAAGGGGCCGCATGCGTTGCTTGCCAAGAATTTCTCGTCTCGCATGCGACGAGCAATCTCTCCGGCGAGCCTTTCAACCAAGGCCTGGTCGACAACTCTGCCGGTAGGACTGTCATTGATAAACGGAAGAATCGTGGAGGGTAGTTGTCGCGACGACCCTGCGGACGAACCAGTGGCCTGTTTTTCTTTTTCAAGAACAGACGCACCATGGGCGCGCACAGCGGCTCGCGGAGTGGCGCTCAGGTCCTCGTCCTGAATGGCCTGTCCGACCGGATTGGACGATGGTTTAGATTCTGCGGTATCGCGGATCATCTCCGATGCAATCTCACGGCGGAGCGCGGGCCGAGAGATACTCATACCGTGTCGTTCGGGGATTGCAGGAAGGTGTAGATCACGATCCGGGGACAAGGGCGGCGTCACCGGATCATCGGTCTGCTCATCTAGGACTGGCATAGGGGCTGAGCAGATGGAGGGAGTGCTGGTCGACTCTGTAAACGCGCTCTCATCGCTCACGCTTGGCGCGTCATCAGTGGTCTTTGGGCGACGCAGATCCACAACGCGCTTCTTTCGCTTTCGAGCATGAGCCTTCGAATGACGGCCAGCCCCTAGACTCAAGCCATATCCGCTAAAGGTGTGGGAAGGTGTCGAAGACCGACTCTGGTTCGAAACCATGCTGGCCGAATCTGGGAAGGACGACATACTGCCAACCTGGGACTGTGTTCTGGAAAGGACGGGACTGAAGGGTGACGTCACGCCTCCGGAGGCATCGGTCTGATCTGAAGGCGAGGTCCATGCGCGGTAAACCACCTCCCTAATGGAAGGGGTGAAGAGTGATAATGTCCGTTGAGAGTCCGTAAGGGCAGCCAAACGCAAAAGGTTTTTCTGAGAAAACAGTGAATGGGTTTCAACAGACGAATCCAAGGAAAGCGATTCGATTTCTGACTCGTTCAGAGCGTTTCCTAGAGCGTCGACGGGATCTTGTGGTGGGCTGGCCAGAGGGTCTTGACCAGGTCCTTCACCATTTGCGCTTTCCGTTTGAGTCTGCAATTCCTCTCCAGCTCGGTACTCGGGGACCCACAATCGGAGTGACAATCGATGTATGATAGCAGGCAACTCATCCATAAAGAGGATGCGAAGCTGCGCTTCAATTTCCTTTTGCAAGAAATCGCGCACAAACGGGATAGAGTCGAAAGTTGAAGAAACCTTGAGTGATTCGAGCGGATCGTTTCGGAAAACCACAGTGATTCCTTTTTGTTTCGAGAAGACCAAGATGACAAAGCCGGATAATTTGAAATCGGAAAGAGTAATTTGGAGAGGTATTGTCAGAGGAGTACTGGGGAAAGGGTCAGCTCGTGCAGAGGCGACAGCAAAAATCTACGCCACTTACGCTGCAGCAAGAGGTCGGGGCGTTGCAAAGGATGGTCGTGTGAGGAGATATGTATTCAGCGGATTCGCTTGGACTCGCGTTTTAAGAGTCAGAAATGCGTCTCCCGAATAGGACATCTTGAAGATGCCTCGAAACCGGTCCTCCGCCAGGTCTCCAATCTCCAAGATCTCCAGCTCCGGGGGGATGGAACCAAGGTTGAGTTCCGTTACGATAATATCGTCGACGATGATGGGCGGTTTCGGCGACTTATTGAGCGCAGCCGTTAATAAATCTTGCGCACGAGTGTAGAAACTCGCGTCCGCCATAAGCGGCGACCAGTTGAAGTTGAACGCCATAGCAAAGCATTGAGTGAAGATGGAAGGGTTAGCTGACGGAACCCACGGCGCGCTAAGAAAAAAATTATGTCGGTCCGTGAAGGACGAATAAGGCGTACAGGGGGGATATGAGAAAGTGATAAAGAGGATGAAACAGGAAAGAAGAGATGGATAGAAGATGGGATGTGAGGAGGAGTTGATGCGATGAAAGAGCCTTGAGGCTATGGTTTAATGCGAAAGGTAGAAGAAAGAGGAGTGAAAAAAGATGGTTGAAGCGAGGATTCCCGAGGTCGCAAGGGCTCTCGGCGGTACAGTGGGTAAAGTACCCAGATGGCAAGTTGACTCGCGTGATCCACGCGACACCTGACGATGAGGTTCGACTCAATCAATGATCTTGAGGTCGTGGTTTTAGTTTTTACACTTAGCCCATGTCAATGATCACTGAAAAGCTATAGAACTACAAACAAGGCAGATGGGGTTGTTATTGTTTTTGGCACTATACTCAGTGGTTGTATTATCCATATTCGTCTTACAATCCTCAAGGGGGCGGGAAGAAAAAAAGCGAAAATAGGAGAACGAAAACAAAAAATACGTCACTCTCAGTCAGCTTCTACGAGGCTCCTCATGCAAGTTGCCTCCATTATTACCTACATAGTTAGTAATATTATTCCCTTAGCAATAATGATATGCACAATTATGGAGTCTCTCAGGCAAACTAAATTAATTAGAGATCTCGCAGCAAGTAATAATGAAAGAATAATAGCAAGATGACTCCATTTATCCCCAGCACCCCCATCAAACCCACTGTCTTCTATTCCGGCCTACCCCGAGTTTTCCGTAGACATTGTTCAGAAGATTCTGTGTTTTCCATCCTCTGGCTAGACTACCTTAGACTAGGTACACTAGCAGTTATGCACCGTCTCCGTTCGACCGTCATTCAATGACAATCTTAATAATACTCTCCCGCACCCGCGCATTCTTGATTCAACTAATCCAAGGTATTTTTCCGTATTGTCAGCACTCAGCAGAGATCTGTGTCATATTCAATGACTAGTCTCATTTCAGACGGGTTCTGGAACGTCTGGCAGGCAGCCAACGGGCCATAACCAGTTGCAATAGTGCAGATCTTAAGACCACCACTCCCCTTGCATTGATTTTAGCTAACAAGCCGTCCTAAGTTATCCCGTCATTAAACCTTCATCACGATGGTTGTTTTGGAAGGTTTCGTATGTGACAGGAGTGACAGAAAACATCAATGCAATCATGCCGTCGGACAGTTATGTTTCGGCTAAGAGCTTAAGATCATCGGGCGCCAGATTCCTTTCCCACTGCTCTCGGGTCTCGTTTTCCCAAAAAGGAATCTGCAGGGAAACTGCTTGGGCAGCAAGCCGTACTCCCAATGTTTCTCGCGACCTCGCTGAATGAACTTGGTGTCTGTGTGAGAGTGATAAGCGAATGCTGGTGATGACTTCACTCATCAGACTACAGCGTCGAGCTGCCCGTGGTATGCTTTCATCATGGCTATGCCCATGTTTGAGCACCATCTCATGTGCTTTTCTTGCACGATCTGACTGGCACCCTCCGTCCGTACTTCCACTAAGGCGCGGTCTCATACCATACATGGCCCTGCATAGTTCTGCGATGTGAACATGAGGTCCAAAACTCATTTATTTGGCATGCGTATGTCCTTGCGCAAGCTACTTAATCTGATCCCACAGATCGCATACTCGGCAATGAAGGACTGAGGCTCTCTTCTTCTGTTCAATCACTGAACTATCAGACAATGGCCATACCACCTTAGGGATGCACGTATCATGTATCTATCCAGATGGCTAGGTAGCAGGCTATATGGTCCTAGTGAGTTAGTCCAATTTATCTCGACGTTTTACTTAACGATATATCTTCCATCCTTATGGAGTAGGTCTGCGATAATGAGAAACGGCCCTCGAGGTAATAGTGGGAATGCGTCTACTCGCAGCTATCATCCGACTTGGAAGGCCCTAAATCTAAGTCTGCAAGCCTTTATTTTAATAGAAATGTCTCTCGAATAAGTTCCTGTCACAGAAGGGATGAATCATGAACCAACAATGAAACCCCCATGTATATACATTGAGTCACGTGAGATTACCGAATGTCAGGGGTTCACCGGGCAACTCTGTCACTAGTCCGTTTTGGGCAATACATCAATAGCCCTGACGTCCAGATTGTCCTCTTATGAATACCAGAATCAACAGCAAGATAAATCCAATTAATGGCCGGAACCCTGAAAGTCCAACATACATACAATAAACCGACACTAATCCCACATCACGATGCTGGTACCGCTCTCACCAACGACTGCAACCTACCCAACATCATGGGATTCGAAACCTACCTCGAAAGCACGCGGTGCCCAAAGAAGAGTCTACGGAAAACGGAGAGTTGATGCGCCGCGAGCGGTCTTTGAACAGGGCAGCCCAATAAAGACGCTGGAAAAGGCAACAGAAGAATCTGTTCGGGATGCCGTGGATTGCATACAAGCGAAGTTGGCTGAAGTCACGTTGAACGAATCTCCTGCAGACTCGGGGAACGAGGAGGAACCTGCACAATCCTTGCATGAAGAGAACGAAGTAGAACATACACCCACACCAACACTGGAGGCTCTGGAGCCAGAGACCGCCCGTACTCCATCGCCAGTGAACGATACACCGAAATCAGAGAAACGCTATGAGAGAATGGTAGAGGTCAGAATAACTCCGAGGAAGCTAGAGACAGAGCCTACGAGCGACAGGAAACATGAGTGCGTTACAGACAGCAAAGCTAGGAAGACGGGTCAGAAGAAGCCCGCACAACATCTATCCTCAGGCCGCGTCCCTGACGAAAAAGTCAACGCATATGTCCGCGCTGTGCTTGACGAGGCTGTATCGCCGATTGCCGCTCAGGGTGTCCAGAAATTCGGCTCGTGGGCTGCTCGAGCTGGCAATGCGCTTGAGGTTGTCAAACTGGCCGAAGGGTCGTACGGAGAAGTATACAAGCTGCGATTGAGAGAGGAAGTTTGCATGAAAGAGATGTCCAAGTCGAAGCTGGCGCGCTTAAGGGCCTACGGAGATGGGGTATTCAAAGTCGTACCGTTACGAGCGCAGAGCGGCCCCGGTTCGAAAAAATTTACTAGCATTGAGGAAATCGTCTCCGAGGTCAAAATGCTCAAATACTTGGACCCAATTCCAGGATTTGCTCGTTTTCGAGAAATCCACGTCGTTCAGGGTCGATTTCCGGACTCATTCCAAGCTGCGTGGGACCATTATAAGAAGACAAAAGACGATTGCATGAATCCCAACCCCTCAAGTAAACGGGCATATCCCGATACACAGCTGTGGGCGATAGTGGAGATGGATGACGCCGGCTGTGAATTGGAGAAATTCTCCTGGTCTTCGATCTTTCAAATTTATGACATATTCTGGGGCGTTGCAATGGCCCTCGCCCGAGCGGAAGAATATGCACTGTTCGAGGTAAGTACTAGCACAGTATCTACGGAAATAGCCAGTGGCTTACCACGTTGAAGCACCGAGATCTTCACCTCGGCAATGTGTGTATCAAGACAACTCGTTCGGACGGCTCTATGGCGCCTCCATCCGATATCGAATTAATGCGTCAATCATGGACTAGCGGCTTCGGCCTGAGCACATTGGAAACCACGATCATTGACTACTCTCTCTCACGCGCGGAGCTGCGAGCCAGTGAGGATTCCGACCAATTTGTGGACATTGCTTCATCAGATCTCGATAAGAAGCAAATTTTCGATGCCATCGGCCGAGACGAGGACGAGATTCTGTTGAGAGACACGTATAGACAGTAAGACCGAGCCTTATGTAACATATAATACGGCAATCATGAGATTAACTTGATATTTAGTATGCGCGCGGAGGTATACACGGGAAATCCGGTCGATACTGAAAAGACTCCCGATATTCCAGGGATCTGGGCGGAATATGCGCCTCGAACGAATCTCATTTGGCTTTTGTTCATCCTAAAAAACCTTCTCAAGAATCGCAAGAGCGAGCCCTCTAAACCGGCCGCAACAAGACCACCCTTGGCCCCATGCTCACCCAATAAAAATATCGAAACGAAGCAGGCGAAGAAATCGGGCGAGAAAGCTAAGAAGCCACTTCTTGGGCAAATACAAGTTACGGAAGCAGATAAAAGAGTTGCTGACTTAAAGAAGTCGCTCGAGGACAGACTCAAGTCAGTTCTAGACCTGCTAGATCTCGAGCATGGCCATAAAGACATGTGCTGTGCTGCGGATCTGGTAGCTTACGCCATTGACTCGCAGTGGCTAAGCGAGGACGACTTTTTCTGAACCTCATCATTGATACACCTGCATTTGAAAGGCGTCATTGTTTTATTTTGGTGTTAGTTGCATTACTAGCATACGGGTCATCGCAATGGTAGCATCTTGACCGGACTTTTGTATTATTATAATTTTTTTCTGAAGTCAGCCTGCTCTCATCCGCACAGCCAGCGCCAATTTTGAGCGTTCTACATTTTTTCGCCATGTTCATCTTGGAGTCGAGGAAATCTTTCTTTTTACTATTTTGGTTGCAATTCAAGGAACTAGCACTATTTCATTCTTCCATGCCATGAATCTCGTTCTTTCACGATGGGACAATCCCAGCTATGGACCAAGTACACAGCTGAATATGGGTGAGGAAACCTAAGGAACGCCCATTGTACAAGGGGAGGAAACCGACTCGCGAGGCTACGGTATGTGAACGCAACACTGAGCTATACCATGCTGTCTTCTTCATACCGGCCATCGGCGCGAGAGATCATCACCTTCAGCGGAGGCCTACTCCACAAGTTGTACGATTCCTGATCTGTCCAATTCTCGCTTTCAGGGCATAGTTCCATGTCTAAATGCCAGAAGACCTTGGCAAGGATGAGCCGCATTTCCGCATTGGCTAGGCTGGAACGAATTAGTTATCGACGAATTGGGACAGTCCATTGAAGGTTTGGAATCGAGCTTCAGACCAGGGTCACTTACTGTTGGCCAAGACAATTGCGAGGTCCGTATGAGAAGGGCTGAAAGGCTTCTTTCTTGTCCATAGTGAAGCATCTATTTGTTTCTTCCTCAGGACTCGCGAGCCAACGTTCAGGAACGAAGGAATCCGGGTTGTGGAAGTTGGCGCTTGAGTGGAAGGTTGACCAGAGAGACATCGAGACCGATGTCTACTTCAAAGTCAGGAAAAGAGAATCAAAGAGAGTTCAACAGAGGCCCGGACTCACCCCAGCAGGGACGTATTCTCCATTTATCATCGCTCCCTCCTCGGGAACAAGCCGCGGTAACATTGCAGGAATTGGAGGATAGATCCTCAGGCTTTCCTCCAGGACGGCATTGAGGTAAGAAAGCGTGGCAATAGACGATAACCGAATCTCCGATGGATGCTGAAATCTGCTACGGATTTCAGTCACCAGTCGCCGGTAGATATGCGGGTTCTTCAGAAGATGGAAGGTACACCCGGACAGCAATGCAGCTGTGGTCTCACTGCCGGCCAGAACTAAAGTCGCAGCGTTAGCGTCGATTTCTTGCCGCGACATGCGGTTCTCGTCGTCTTTATGCCTGAGAATATACGAGATGAAATCTGGGCGGTTTGTCTGTCTGTGCAACCGACGGCTGACTTTCTCCACGGTCAACTGGAAACTTGCCTCTCGTCGCTGGTGCAGGTAACTCGGAACCAGCAGTTTCGTCAAGGGGCTCAGGATGGGGAAGAACCAAAGAACCTTGAGGTAGACGCTGAGCTTGACTGCGTCGAGCATGATGGATACCCACCAGTGATACTTACTATCTTTCAGGCAGTGAAACGGCTCGCCAAAGGCGAGGTCACCAATGAGATCAAACGTGGTGTAGTTGTACCACCTGGCGATATCGACGACCTCCGAGTGCGAATGATCGAGATTCTCGCGCAGCTTTTGGACGAGAAGATCGGCATAGAAGTGCAGTAGCGGTTCCTGCTCCCGTAAGGCTCTGTCCGAGAATGCATGGGCGAGGAGCCGCCGCATGCGAATATGATCAGACTCTGCCGCTGTGATTATTGCGTTCACGCCATTAGGTGTCGGGACATAGAGGGAAGGATCCTTTCGAAATGTTCTTTGGCCCTTTTTCGTTCTGTGTCCGTATATCTCCTTCCAGGCCTGTGGAGTGCGGTAGACGAGTGCATTGGGACCAATGCGGACCACGTCGCCATATCTGTCATGAAGATCTTTGACTTTTGAGTGCACTCTCCCACGAATCTCCCAAACAAGAAGAGCAATCGGAGATATAGCAGCAATTTTGGGTCCTGGATATCGGCTCAAAGGATGAAAGTATATAGCATAGATCGAATGGCCGATTAGGTAGATAGAGCCCTGTTGTCTGGTCAGCATCCGACGGTGATAGTCTGCGGTTTGTGATTGTTTCTCCACGAACCAGAAGAATGCTCCAGCTCAGCATTGCCGAGAGCATTAGCCTATCGAAGACATCGTGAATCCACGGAGCCATTTCAAGTCAAATATTGAATTTTACTTGTAGTAGACCTTGATATGCGGCGATGCTACTTATCAAGATTAGAGAATGAGGACTGCGGAATGTGAAGTATACAGCGAAGAGTATGTTGTTCGTGAGATCATCGATTATCAACGCTGGCCTGAGAGTAATTCAGATTCGATGATAAGATCACGGCGCACTCAAGTACAGAAGGAGGCCAAGGGCCAGGTAGACGATCAGCCATTGGTGTCTATTCGTGGACTGATCGTTCGCTGTCCCTCACTTCTACCTTACCTGCAGCTGGAGTGTCGAGCCCATCAAGCCCGAATTTCATCATATCTAGAACGACGGGCAACAATGCACTATCTTCAAACAGGATAACCAATCGACACTTGAAGGTGGACTGCGAAAAGAGCGCGGACGCTGAAGGTAGCCTTGATAGGAAAATGTGTGGACAGGAGAGAAGCGAGGGCGCTGGTCACAAAGTACGGGGCGCAGTGAGACGTTGCTACCGAGAAATACAGAACAAAGGAGACGAGTCAGGATGCTCATTCATGTCCTTGTGCTCAAGGTGGAATGGCGAGTGATCTTATTGGACAATGTAACAAATCTAGCATTAAATGGTCATGATCAGTGAATATTATAGGTCAAGCCTATACCGTCTATATGCTCTTGCCTCCTAGAGGACATTCATATGTTGGCGACAAGGAAGCTCATGAGACTTCCTGCAGCCAAGCCACCCACAAGGACCATGCTCATGAACCCACCAGCGGCCTCTCGTTCATCCACAGAAACCCATTGACCAGCTCCCATCATACAGCTGCTGCCAAGGTATCCATTGGAAACCCCGAACAAAAGCTGCACGACGAAGAGATAAAAGAAATCACTCTGTACAATGGCCCCTCTCCCTCCAATGTTACAAAGCAGGTAAAGTGGGATGAACCCAAGGCGGGTCACGGAAATGACGAAAAGGACCCAAGGACGATGGGCTAATGAAAGACTGGGGATGATGACTGACATTCTCCCAATTAGATCACCGGCATTCCAAAAGAGAAAAGCCACTGGAATGAAGACTTCTCGAGAGAATAACCGGGAACGATTGGGATTCTGATGTACGGACTCAATTTCTGCGGTGAAGACTGCGTACACCATAGTAATGGCAAAGCAAAGGAATAGAGCCGATGCAAGAAACCGTAGCTTCTTGAACAAAACCCAGAGACTCACCGTCTTATGAGCATAACCAGAGGAGATTGAGTCGTGTTGTTCCTCTGGCAACTGTAGGGATGTACCCGACCGTCGTCTGACAAGGGAAAGGAAGGCGACCAGCGAAATAGCAGCAATGGCGGTGGCTGTAATGAAATACATAAATGCGGACTTTGATGAAGCCTGAGGCATGTTTTGTCCCTTTCTCTCCGGCACTGCCAAAGCAGAGATAATTTGCACCACACACGGAAGCACGCCAGCTACTCCCTGTCCTGCCATAATGGCTTGTGTATATTCTTCTCTCCCGAACCCAGACACGTAGGCAAAGACGCCATTCTGATTGATGCCGGTTGCTAAGCTTGCCCCAAATACCATGAACATCAGAAAGCTGAAGTAGGCTTTAACATCGACATATTTCATAAAGACTGTCGAAAGCGCCAACAGCGAGAAGACGACAATATTTATAAGTAGAGAAAGCGTTACTCGTCTCGGGTATGAGGCCCCTTTCTGCAGTTTGGCGAGAATGAATGCGGACCCCAGGTTAGTGATGGTTGACACTGTCAGAATCGAGGGTTGGAAATGGGTTGCTGTCCAGTTGTCCGACCGAAAACGGAGATAGAAATACGGTGCTGCAGCAAGAAACATGTTCCTAATCCAAGTACGGCAGAGTCAGAAAGCTTTCAGGTGAAGTCGGTAGGCCATGGGTCAGATGGGAAGGGAGGTAACACGGGTATGAGGAACGTACCATGCCCACAACATTGACACCCCCAGAATAAAGAATACAGCATATTCATATCTGGAGAAAGGCAATTCATGCTGCGGTCGAGGGGAGTTTGAACCATGATCGTCATCATCAACCCCCGTAGGGTGCTCTATCGGCTCGTATGCCTGTGGGCGAGTGATCAACCGCCGAATGCGATCCATTGCTGGTTCATATGGTTCGTTCAGTCCTTTTCGACAATGGGAATTGGATAAATCAAAAGGAAGCAATCAAGCCATGGTTAACATTTGATGGCTTTCACGAACCACATCCCACCATGAACCCAAGGTGCTTAACAGTGATAGTCAAAGGTGCTGTTAGGAGGAATAGTGCCAAGACTTGTGACCTGCGATGTCATGTGTTGTTGCCTTATTTTCGGTTGCATATAGATAGCCTATGAAATACTCCAGAGAGGAGACTCGACGATCACCGATTTCAATTCTACGGTTTGAGAGTGCTGCAGATGGATGCGACTCGTGAGCGCGCTGGTTGTGCCTATAGTTTTATTTTTCTCGCTACATGTCCGGTTATGAGGTCTTCCCAAGACCTATCTCATCAATAACGCTTGCCGCCAGCTTTGACACTATTGACCGTCTAAGAAGAAATTTATAGACAAAAATAAAGGGGATATTCTATAGATCAAGATGCCAAACTCGCGAAGAGGGGAGTTAACGTAAGAAAACAAAAAGAAATAAGCGGACATGTAAGGGAGTCTATGTGAGCGCCTCCGGCCCCGATAATCCATCTAAAGCACTAATCACTTTTTCGCGACTCAGAGGGGATGTTGGTATCCTCGGATATCTCTGTCACGTCCTCACTCTGCATGTCCCAAGCGGTTTCCTGCGCCACCGGGTTGGCAGGAGTGTTGGCGGGCTGGTCCGTCACCTCACCGCCGCTCATCTGCCACTCCATCAATTTGGTGAAGGCGCCATCAGGACGAGCACTGAGCTCCTCATAACTGCCCTGTTCGGCTACCCTTCCGTCGGGGCCAAGGACAATAATCGTATCGGATCTCTTAATGGTAGAGAGTCGATGAGCGATGCTGATGGTAGTATTGTTGCCACGAAGGAGCGCGGTAAGAGCACTGTTCACAAGGGTTTCGGACTCTGCATCGAGAGCAGAAGTTGCTTCATCGAGTATGAGAATATCAGGATCCTTGATCAGAGCCCGGGCAATCGCAATGCGCTGCTTCTGGCCACCAGAAAGCTGAGCGCCCCGGGGTCCCACCTGGGTGTCAAGGCCATCCGGCTGGACAACACAGTCAGCTGCATATTTAAACCAGAATGGAGGTCGAGTAACTTACAAAGTCACTTATGAACTGGCAGTTCGCCTTGCGCGCAGCTGCAACGATCTCTGACCGTTTGGCCTGAGGTTTACCATACGCAATGTTCTCCGCTATGGTCCCCGAAAAGAGGACAGGCTCTTGGGAGACGATACCAATCTTTCGTCGAAGAGATTTGGCGTTCATATGGGTGATGTCTTTGCCACCGATGAGAACTCTTCCTTCGGTAGGAGAGTAGAAACGGAGCAAGATGGAAGCGATTGTTGATTTCCCACCTCCTGAGGGCCCAACGATAGCAACATTGGTCCCTTGGGGAATTTCGAAATTGAGATCCTTAAAGATGGGAACAGCAGGCCGAGTCGGGTAACTAAAAGTCACGTTTTCGAAGCGAATGGGTCCTCGCGCCGAAACGACCTTCTCGCCCTTGGTTGGAGATATGGTTGGCTGACGATCCTGTAATTCGAACAGTCGACTAGCTGCCCCGACACCTTTCATCAGTTCAGAGTAAAAGCTCGAAAGACCGAACATGCTTGACCCTGCGTACGCCGTGTACATCAGAAATGAAGTTAATTCTCCAATGGTTATGGCACCAGATTGGACCATGCCTCCTCCGACGTAAAGCAATGCCAGGATGGTCATGTTGCCAGCAAACCCGGTCTAGACAAAGTTAGATCTATGATAAGCGGTAGGGTTGGGTGACAGTTGCGTACGGAGCTAAAGAATGTGGCACTTATCAAGGATTCTTTTTTGCCAAGTTCAAAAATCTTTCGCACTTGATTGTTATACCGGCGAACCTCGAGAACCTCGCCAGCAAAGGACTGGCTAGTCTTGACGTTGCCCAGACGCTCCTCCGCAATCTTGGTCAAGGTTCCAAGATTCCTCTGGATTTGACGACTCAGGTTTCGAATCGCTCGTCCATAGAAAAACGCCCCAAGGCCGATAGGAGGGAGAAGGAGAGCCAGTATACTGGAGAGCTTGAGACTGACGTAGGCCATTAAGCCGAACCCTGCTGCACCGCTAACTGCAGCGCGCAGTCCATCAGACAGGTTCTGTGTAATACTCTTGCCGACAATAATGGTATCAGAGCTAAGACGAGAAATCAAGTCACCGACCCGATTCGCATCGAAGAACTCTGCATCTTGCACAAACGTCTGGCGGAAGAGTTTCGAGCGAAGTCTGGCAACAATACGCTCACCAACGATACGCAGGATGATAATGCGACCATAGTTCGCCGCAGCGCCCAGAGTGAGAATTCCAGCCAACGCACCATAGAACATGGGAAGGCTCAGACCGAAGAGCTCATTACCACCTTCTGTAGTCGCTTTTGTCGCCGTGTCCATGATCTTTCCAATCGAAAATGGAATGGACATTGTAATACCAGATGATACCAGCAAGAAAAGGAAGGCGAAGGCGAGTTTCTTCGCTTCCGGTCGAGCAATCAGTAAGAGCCTCCATATTTCCCTGAACCCGGCCTTCTTTCCAGCAGCACCATCTTTGGCGAGCTTCGCGCTGAGGTTGACCTGTGCTGCCTGAGCGGCTCTCTCCGATAGCTCAAAACCTTTCTCGATGTCCTCATGCTCCTGATCCTGGTGTATCTCTGACCTCACTCCCTGACCGCCTGTCGACTTGACGTTCGGCTTTGCCTCCAATGATCGCTGGGAGGTAGAAAACAGCCTGACTGTACTCACAAGTCGCGGTTGAACGGTTGAAAAACCTTTACTATAGACATTGGCGTATAACGAGGACGCGATTGCGGATTGACACGGACGCGGGTTGCAACTGTTGCTTATTGACCCGGAACAACCCGAAAACTGTCGGACGAGACCATTGCGAGCGCTGTGTGTCGAAGAAATTACGCAGGCATTGGGATATAGCTCTGCAAAGAGTCCTCGTCGAGGAACTCGCTTCGTGCTCAACCCAGGAGCCCAGCAGGGAAGCGATCTAATCCCGCGCATCTGGAAATTTGGAGAGAAGATGCGGAATTGGACGGGGATTCAGAATGATGTCACGGAAGAGAAGCTGGATGCCATATCTCGTCATGGGAACACTAATGTCGCGCTGATCATGACACTGTCGAGCTCAATTGCTGCTCGAGGAATGGATAGGTGCTTACAACGCTGATGCGACGTAAAATGCGAGCGTCAGCTGAAGTCGGAACTATGCTTGTTCGGTCGGTCGGACAGGCATCGGAGTCGGCAGAGCGGCTTCCCCAAAACGCCAGATTCTGCCATCTCGAACCGCCTTCCACGGAGGTTCGGCCGCAATCGAAGCTGATCGAGAGCTTTCGATGCATGTGACTTAAATATATAACGAGGTTTACATTTGTTTTGAAGCTACTAATTCTCTTGCTGGCCTTGGTTGAATAGCTTGAGTCAATCAAACCTTATGATCTCTAGCAGGTTTTTTTTTTGAATCGCACATCTTGTGAACATAATTGCCCCTTTACCATTCATCGTCTATTACTGTTATAATACTTTGTTTCTACCCCGCCGCACCCCTCATAACATACCAGCAACAGCTTTTCGTTAAGCGTATTACTACCAACCGCCGCGATGGTCTTGGACTACAGCAAATGGGATGCTCTTGAACTGTCCGATGATTCGGACATCGAGGTTCACCCTAATGTCGACAAGCGCTCCTTCATTAGAGCAAAGCAGGCTCAGATCCATCAGCAACGACACCAGCGCCGTATGGAGATTGAGACTCTAAAGTACGAGCGAATTATCAATGATGGTCTTCTCTCACGTATAGATAAGCTCCTCGCATTGCTTCGCGAGCATGAAGGATCTTCACGGGATCCTGAGGAGCTGGTCTTTCAAGCCGTTATGGAATCGGCAAGCAACCCCGCTGAAGACCAGGCACCTGTCCCACCAGAGGGCGTTCATACACACGAAAAGGAGCAGCCGAAGTACTCTCAGATGCTAAGTTCTTTAGTTGATCAAGTTAAGAAGGAGATCGGCGAGTCGAGTCCCGATAACCGATACCAGGCATATATCAAGGGTGTAGAAGGTCACCAGGACAAAGTTCAGGGGTTACAGAAAGAATTGCTGGCTCGCCTTGCGCAGCTGGAGAAGGAAGAGTCCAGCAAGATTACCAGCGATATGCTGCATACTGGATTCGACACATCCTACGTATCAAAATCAAAGGATAAGGGCAAGGCACCGGCTACGGCGAAATCAGAATCTGTGGAACTTCTAAATCCACGTGCAGTACAAGATGATGCACCGAAAGCTGATGATAATGAGCAAGTCGACCCGGACGACGTCAAAGCGAGCGATCTGGCCAAGAAGTTTGCTCGCATCAACCGTAATGACTATAGGGCATTGCTTCAATTTATCTCGAACCACCCGGAGATTGTCGCAGAGAAAGAGACGGATGGTCTTCTGGTCGAAGCTTTCAACAGCCAGATGGAAGGAAAGGAGGAGTATGCTCGTCAGTGCGTACACCAGGGGCTGTTGTTGCAATATTGCCGGTCTCTAGGTCGAGACGGGATCTCACTTTTCTTCAAGCGGTAAGTTCAATTTGATCATTAAATGTGTGGAACTGTTGCTAAGATAGTCTGGTCAACAGTATCACGACTAAAGACCATCAAGCGGCGACACTTTTCCGCAACGACGTGAACGAAACCTACAACAAAATCAAGACCCGTGCGGCGGAGCTCGCCAAAGACAGCTCGGCTGCCAATGATCCTGCTGGAGTAGAGCAGATTCAATTGCATGCTGTCGATCCTAACACCAAGATCACTATCAATATCCCACCCGCAGACAGCAATGACCCGGCGGAGATTGAAGCTCGCAAGATCTTCGAATCTTTCTCGGAAGATATGCAGAAGGCATTGGCCTCGGAGTCTCTTGATGAAGTCAACAAAGTACTTGGTAAAATGCCCGTCAACGAGGCCGAAGAAGTTGTGGAGAAGCTCGGGGCTGGCGGCTTGCTAAGCCTTGAGGAAGGCATCGTTGACGCGACCACAGAAGAAGGCAGGAAGAAGCTTGAGGAAATTGAAGCTGAGGGCAGAAAGGAAAAGCACGTTGAAGAGATTGGTGAACCTGGCGGAGATGTTACCGAGTTGGATTGACGCAACTGGCGAATGTGTTAGTTACTCTTTGAGCCGAGTGAGTTCATTCATCCATTCTGCTCAATGTATTGCAGACAGTATCCAGAGTTGTTTTCTCCGGCTTTGAAGGATTTTAATCAAGACCATGTAACAAGTGCCACTTGTCGGCAATCTACTGCATGCTACCCTAGTTTTAACCCTGGGCGAATTGAGCAAATTCTCTAGGGTGAAGCCGTACGGAAGGCGACCATAGGAGCAGGTAATTCATACGTACATTTAACGAAGATGATAAAGAGGAGGAAAAATACCAAGGTTTAAATACACGGGTGCCAGAAGGATATGCCAGTAGTAAAGGAATCAAAAGCTGTAGCTGAAGCGAATACGCAACCATGACCATCAAAAGTAGGAAACCTCGCGCTCACTCATTGCGGATCAAAATGATAAAACGGAAGGCATCCTTGATCAAACGCGAGCAGTGCTGTTCGTGAGCAAGATGCGACAACGATATGAAACAGTGTGTATTGTCATTAGATAATTTATTTCTTTCAGTCTCTCGATGACCCGTCGTCCTCCGTCTTGCTTGTCATGTCAACGACCAGCGTCCAACCTCTAGATCCCACTGGCACCTGGGGCATTCTGATCCTTCTTCAGATCCAGTAGCAACTCACGGAAACGCTCCTTGCCTGATCCACTGGCACCACCCTTTGCGCCCTTTCCTGAGATGTCGACAAGCTTCGCGATGCGCTCCCAGCTGGTGCCACCGGCAGAGGTGTCTTCTCTGTTGGCAAGGAATTGTTCGGCATCAGCGCGGGTTTGAGCTCGGAGCTTGTCTGTCTTGTTGTTGTAAGATACGTAGAAATCGTCGATGTCCTCTCGAGCCTTCTTGATAGTCGCCTCCTTCTTCTCGTTCGAAAGTTCTGCGCGGCGGGCGATTTCTGCGTCTCGTCTCTCACGCCATTCCCTTTTACAATCCGTATCGTCAGCGTGCGGATCCTCGCAGGCGGGCGAGAATAGAAGGAGTGGGGTATCGACAAAAAAGGACAAGCTATGAGACATACCTGACGGGCTCTGGCTCTTCCTCTGGCTCTTTGTAAGAAGGATAGCCAGTTGGCGGGAAGGGTGCGCCTGTTCCGGTAATTGTACCGCCAGGAGCAACTTGCTGTTAAGGAGAAGGGCGTCAGTGCTCCGTGAACGACCTCAACGCTAGGGCGAGCAAAATAATACCTCATTCTGTGTCTCAATAGCAGGAAACGAAGACTCAAATCCCGAGATTTCCTCAGGGGCTGCTTCGCCAACTACGGCTCCTTCCGCACCACCCAGTAAATCATCACCGATATCTGTAGCAACGTGGTCTTGAGCAGTAGCAAATTGTTCGGCATCATCTCCAAGAATAGCGCGCTCCCGAGCAAGGAAGTCGTTTTCATCCGATGCGCCGTTAGTTTCGACAACGTCAGTCTGGCCTGGGTGAATCCAGATTAGCATCATCAATCAGGTACTAGCGGGATTGTTGCGGGCAACCAACCCGCAGAAAAGTCCTCCAGTGAGGGGAAACGGTCCGCCATTTTTGAGTAGTAATTGAGGTGTTAGAGTCCCAGGACTGGCCTGCAAGTGCTGTAGATCAATGTGGATGAAGGAAATGAGATTAAGGTTGAATGCGATGCTCCAGCTGGCGCTTTGAGGAGGTGTGTATGAGTGTTGATGGAGCCCGGGGATTCTGCCGCGGAGGGCGGTCAGGAAGCTTCCGTAGTTGGTCTGGAGCTTCGATGAGCTTCACTTTATGAACACAGTCACCTTCACTCTACTTTCATATCATATCTTCGATGATCTGTTCTCGCTTGAAACTGCTTATGCCGTTTGTGTTTCTCAATTGACCCGACGCCAGCATTTATTAATTTGTCAATATAACTTGCTGCTAAGCTCCTCAAATCTGGAGTAATACCACTAAAGCATCCAATTCAGCTGCTTTCAATTAATCACCACATCGCCTTCTAGACGCGTTCAGTCGAGGCTTTCTTTCAGCATGGCGTACACTGATGATGCTGTCAAAGCCAAGCTCTCAGCGCTAAATGAGACGCAGGAAGGTATCGTCACGGTTGCCCAATGGGTTATGTTTCACAGGTAATTGAGCCACAGTAGTGAGCCTCTTAGAGGAGATGCTAATTACTCCTCCACATTCAGACGACATGCAGAACGAACGGCGCAACTTTGGCTACAGAAACTTCGCGATTCGCCTGCGCCCAAACGGCTGAACCTTATCTACCTTGCTAACGGTACAAATCTTGCAAATCGGGCCAATGCTCTTGAACTAATGAGTGGTTAGAGGTTGCACAACAATCAAAAGCCAGACGGAAGGATGATTTCCTCATTGCTTTCTCTCCGGTTGGTACTCCTTTGCGTGGCGTAAGAATGGAGGTTAATTCAATGTAGATCATTGCCGACGCCATGGCAACTGCATACAAAGGTGCTTCAAACGACATCCAGCAGAAGCTCCGACGAGTTGTTGAGGTGTGGAGGCAACGGTCAATTTTTGAGATACCTATTCAGGAAGCTGTAGAGGCTCGCGTGGATGGTAAGCTTTTCTCTTGATATTCGGCCTAACTGTCAGTTGGCTTATCGAACTATAGAGATTGATAAGTCACGGTCGACTGGTAAAAAGCCATTGTTGGGCGGATCCCTTTTCTCGAGCCCGTCTGGGTCGGTTCCATCCGAACTCCAGCCGCTGGTGCCTTTGCAAGCAGCTTTGTCTAAAGCGACAATGGCCTCCGGTGCGTCTGCTACTGCAGCAAATGGAGAGTACGACAAAATGAATGATCCCGCCGTACCCCTACCAACTCCTCCAGTGCACGCTGCACGTCTAAGCCAACTACTGAAAGCGCTTGCAAATGCTGAAAGTTCTGTGTCCGAGGTCATCAAATCGCGCTTGGCACTTATCGATGGTCTTGAGAAGCTTCTTGAGACCAATCGTGCAGCCTTATCAAAAGAGCAGTCCGTTCTCTCGCAGCTGACTGAAAGGAAGGCGGAGACTGAAGCGAAGAAGCGGGACGTGGAAGATAGCATCATGAGAGGACTTTCTATCGACAATCCACCCGTGCCTCAGCCTAGCGACGCGGGCGCTGAAGCACCAGCCGTGGCTCGTCCGGAGGTCGAGGCTTTGACTCCCCCGCCAGTGGAAGCAATCACCCCTGTTGGGTCCCCAACGCAAGCCCCCCAGGAGAAAATCCCAGAGTCGGTGGAGGAGGCTCAGGTCGATGGTTTTTCGCTTCCAGGCATCGGACAGCCTACCAATAATGTGCCATCTGACACGGAACTACCAGGTCTGTCGAATCTTTCCAGCATGTTTCAGCAGGGCAGCCCCAACGGAGTCAACTCGAAGAAGCGTAAGGTTACCCATGGAGAGGAGGACTATGCGCAATTCGCTAGCGGCGACCTGGACGCTGATGTCGCCGAGTTACTGAATCAGGAGGGCTATCCGCAGGAGAAGTAGCATCCTTGAAAGCATCTAAGCTGCCGGTCCTATTTTTTCTCGTCCGGGCATTCTGCTTTATACTTCTGCTTTGATCCATATTCCCCAACATAGCTTCGTCACAGTGTGATATTACTTCTGGTGGGCTTGGTCTATTCAATCTCCGTCTGCATGTGACCGATATCGAGCTGGAGTTATTTGCCAGTTTTATTGCAATGGGACCTTTCTTTTGTGACTTCCAATTTGGACTCTGGCGGCGTCGCTGTCCCAGGAAATGAGCACCGTATGTAGGCTCTGTTCCGATAGGCAATGGTTCAATGACAGGCATTACGAAGTATCTCGCTTCCTGCTCTATTTAAGATGTCACTGTAAATGCAAGGTACAGAGAGCGATGGGCCTAGATGAATTACAAAACTAGACTTAATCCGATCACCGCTTCCTGAAGGCGCTATAGATGGTGATATTATGCATTATACTGTTCATAACCGTATCTGTCAAGTATGACTACCCATTTATACCCGGCTCGAACAACTTGTCCTCTGAAGACTGAATCGGAAACGGACGCCTCTTTCGGCGATAGACAGATGTGGATGTTCGAGGGAAAAGACTCGGTGGCTGCTCAGCTGCTGGCTGTTCGACGGGCGGGGGAGGGGACGGTGTAGGAGCTGGTGAGCTATGCCTTTTTGGTTTGACTATTAGCAGGATGATCATCCCTGCAACTAGGATGATAAGTAGAAGGAGGATTTTGCGTTTTGTCGTTCGCCGTTGATAGTTGGTCGCCTTTAAGCAGAATTTGTCAGTCCTTTGGCAGCCCCTCAATCTCTCATGAGCGATGGACATACCACTTTCAGCTCCTTCTCGGCTGCCTTGACCTCAGTACCCATCCGTTCGATATTATAGTCTATCCGGTCCAGCATGGTTCCCTGATCGATGACCATCGCTTGTAGTTCGCGAAATATGTCCGACAACTCAATGATGCTCTTCGCGATGTCGTTGATCTCCCGCTCACGTTGCTCAATGGCTTCGTCATGTTGACCGGTCAGTCGCTGTGACGTTTGCATGAGAGTCGATTGAGAAAATGACTTGTCCGCGTCGGACTCCATTAATGAAGGATCCATGTAGGGATTCTGTGGCGTCGGGGCGCGGTCAAAAGGCGCCGCAGCACCCTCCAGTCCTCGTAATTCTGTTAAATCGCAGGTTACAATATTTTCCCAATGGCCATGAAGGGTAACAGTGCATACTCTTCAAATAGGTGCTCTGCTTCTTCCTGAACCGAGCACTAGCCTCTTGTACCCTAGAAGCCAAGGATATCTGGATATTCTTCGCCATAGTCTCGTCCCCGGCACTCACTCCGCCCTGTTGCTTGGCCTCGCGCACCATCACTTCGATTCTCTGAACCGCCTTCTGACACTCATGGAATCCGCGAGTTATATCCTGCGTGAGTCGTTCGATCATTCGCTCGTCCTGCTTCCTTACATCCTCGTCGCCGAATCCAGGTAGCAGATGCTTCTGGTGTAGCTTGTCCAGCTGTGCCGACTTTTGCGCAATGTCTGCGAGCAACTCGGTCACTTCGTCTTGGACGTCGACCCACCGCGGGGGCAGGAGATCCATCTCAATGATCGCATCGCCATCATCTTCTAAGCCGCCGGAGTCAGATATGAGTCTGCGACTCTCTTCGGATTGTGAGGGTGTGTCGGTGAAGCCATTGGACGGCCCGATATAACGTGGCTTCTTGGCTGGGTGGTGCGCGAACGATTGACGGTAGGAGATATATCTGAGAAGAACAGGAGTATTGTCAGCTTTTCATGCCATCTTAGTCCTAAGGGCTGTAGATAGAGGAGTACAGGTTCGTGCGGTCCCGCCACATTGCGGCAGGTAATCTGGGCTATGAGCGATTCCTATGGTAGTCTTTGGCGGAGAGCGGCCTAGCTTGTCCGGATCATCGTCGGTCAAATATGAAGTTCTGTGATGTAGTATTATATGACGGCGGAAAGAAGAGGCTGGGCTAAGAGCAATGATGCGGTCGGAATAGGGTATACTGTGAAAAGGGAAGGTACTTGAAGCTTATAACTCGTCGCAAACACAAAGATATCGCCGACATCCGCAGCTCCATCACCAACAATGGCCCACGTGAAGGGGCAGTCCGTATGACGCCATGCCGCTTCAGGGAAAGCCCTTCTGGGATTTCCCGTAACGGACCTGTAATCTGGCCTCTCCCCAGATCCATCAAATAGGTGCCTGGTAAATAAGGTATAATTTCACATATCTGGGATTGTACAGAAAAGAAAATTTGGTGGACGCTGAGGATATTCTGCCTTGGATGTCTACAGCGTGGTCAATACAGCGACATGGGTGGAGGTACTAGTATCAGAGGACTGCTGGATCTGATGAAAAGAGCACCTGGCTATCTAAGTAGGTAGTTGGATATATCATGATACATGGAGTCATGGACGGGAGTGAGTCGAGTGACAATCTCCACCTCAATCGTTTATCTCGTCTGTTGATCAATGTATTAAAAGTCGTCATATCCATTGGTAGACACACTGGATTCGTGGCTCGGTTCCGGAATCCAGACAGATGATAGAGTTTCTGAAGAGGCTTGTATGCACACACGGTTCCAATGAATTAGAATCAGTCGACGTAGGAAACGAGGCTCAAGAACAGACATCTCCAGACAGGAACATTGGCAGGCAAGGCAGCCACGCTATGTGTACAAGAGACGGTACCTAGAAGAGATATTCTGTGCTATTAAAAGCTGAATACTCAGTGTTTAAAGAGCACTGCCACCGCTAAGGAACGGTAGCCAGAACTTGTTGCTTTCAAGCTTCACTACTGGCCTTGGATCCACGAGGCGTCGTCAGCACCATAGTAACAGCCTGGATATACCAAAGGGCGGAATTCGGATGCTGTGTGCAGGTGCACATGCTGGACAAAATTCTCCGCAGCAGAGTCCCAAGATCCGAGAGTTCTGCCCTCTGCAATAGATAATGCAGATGGCAAACAGTAAGCTTGTCCTGCCAGCCTAGCCTTCAGCACTTCAGCCCTTCAGCCCTCTTTGGGCGCTTTGGCCAAGTAGTGCTCCGGGCGGGTCACGTTTTTCAGGCCGTCAGTCCTATAATTAAGCGACGGCCTGGTTTGCCAGGCATCCAGCTCGTTCTCTGGCGGGTCCAGTTATTATTGTCGACTTGGCTCAGCTTCCCCTTAAACACTTCTTCCCCCGCTACCATCACTACCTCGCTAAACCACCGGCTGTCCAGCCTTTATATACCCTTTACAGGCCACTGTTCAACCAGCCTAACACTTTCCGTTTTTCTTGTCACTTTTAACATTCCCATTTTTCACCATGGTATGCGTTCTTGTTCAGTCGCCTTGCCGAGTCTTGCTGAAAATCCCCCACTTTGCGGGGCAGATCGACTGATATTCTGGACAAAAGTTGCTGACACCACAATGTCTAGGCCGACTCTTTGACTGAGGACCAGGTTTCCGAGTACAAGGAGGCTTTCTCTCTCTTCGTAAGTGAACTGTCCAAGTCCCTAGTCGTTGCATAGGAGGGATCTACTCCATATTGAGGGTGTGCGCTCACACGAGATTCGACCTATAGGACAAGGATGGTGATGGTTAGTGACCCTTTTTCCGCTCCTCGAACTTCGGCTTCAAATGCGATCATGTTCAAACGCCGACTTACATTATCCGGAAATGACCCGTCAGTACTGATAATATCTATGTTTGACTATTAGGCCAGATCACCACTAAGGAATTGGGCACTGTGATGCGCTCCCTGGGCCAGAACCCTTCCGAGTCAGAGCTACAAGATATGATCAACGAGGTGGATGCTGACAACAACGGCACCATCGATTTCCCTGGTATGCGATGCATTTGGTATGACCTCGGGAGGGAGGAGAACAATCATTAACTCGTATTCAGAATTCCTTACTATGATGGCTCGGAAGATGAAGGACACCGACTCCGAAGAGGAAATCCGGGAAGCTTTCAAGGTCTTCGACCGCGACAACAACGGTTTCATCTCCGCTGCGGAGCTGCGCCACGTTATGACCTCGATCGGGGAGAAGCTCACTGATGACGAAGTTGACGAGATGATCCGCGAGGCGGATCAGGACGGTGACGGCCGGATTGATTGTACGTTCATCGAACAGCTTTCTTCTGTTGCACCCCGATTTTCATGGGACATTTCGCTAATTGTTTCTAGACAACGAGTTCGTTCAGCTCATGATGCAAAAATAAGCGTTTCGTTCGGCTGTTCTGTTCATTCCTAGCTAGTCGGGTGTCAATACATATATCCACTCTTCCCGTCTGACCTTCGTTGCTATTACAGTGTAGCTAATAGATATGGAGTATGGACCGTGATTGGCTTTGACGACCCTTCTGCTTGCATCTGTTGGTTCTCCTGTGGGGACTCCGAGATGATTGCTCTGTCTCTGGGTTAAGGCGATCTTGGTAATTAATGAAGGGCCTCGGTAAGACATTATGTGTCTGATTATATTCACATATCCAGTGTGATTGCCTCATTTAGCTTCTATTGAATTCTCGTCGTCTTTTGATCGCCATACATGAATTCTTCTCATGATTCGAGTGCTCGCGGGCATTCAGACATTGCATTCATCTGTTAAACCTGAAAATCTCCATAAACTGTCTAGCTAGGTCCGTTCCTGCATCCGGGTCCGGGTCATCGTCCTGCTGTAGGGCATGTCCCTCATTCCTTGGTGCCGTCTGTCCCGTTTTCTCTTGTAATTTTAATTTCTTCAACTGCTCTTTCACCTCTCTGCCAACGTCCGGTACAAGGATCGCTTCTCGCGCTCCCTCGATCCCCAGCTTAGACCAGAACTCCCGGATCAGCGCTGCAGTTGCAGAGTACTCCGCATCGATATCTGCATCTTCGATACCGCCGAAGAGCGCGAGGTCGATCCCCGAGTCATGGTCACTATCCGAAACGTCGGTGGCCCCGCCTGGATTCACCGCTCGTTTAGACTGTACGTATTGAGCGGCTATAGATGTTACCAGCGACGGGCCCCTGTATTCTATCTCCACGACTGTACCTCGGACCCGCGCCGCCGGCTGCGTCTGCCGCACGTCGCCAATACGTACTCGGAAATCGCCGACATCGTAGACCATGCCCCCCGGTACAGCTACTGTATGTCGATGGCACCAGAATGGTTGGCAGGCGTAGACGAAGTGCTTGAACAGAGCTCCGGAAGAAGGCAGAGACACGGTGGTCATAACCATGCCGGAACCGCCCGCTGCTGCGGCATTGCTTGGAGTGGCTGAACCCGAAGCAGGGGTGAGTCGGGTTTGGGGAGTAGCAGCATTCGGGGCGGGAGTTTGCCCTGTCTTCTCGGGAGTCTGAGAGGTGTAGATAAATCCGTGATTGGGGTAGTAGGATAACGATAGAAATTGCATGTATCGGGGGTGAGCGTGTCGCTGGGGCCCTGACCCAGGCACGCAGGAGGGCGTATCCCTCATCAACTTATGCTCCAATGCCCATCGGCCTATTGCGACAGGCTCCTCTGCGACGGCCGAGTGCAGCCGTTCTGTGATGGTCGCGAGAGCTGTAGAGGCATTTGGGTTTGCGGGAATGAAGAACACTCTGCATGAGCAGTTAGCATTAGTGGCTAGAACCAGAACTCGAGACACATCTACCCTGTGATAGGCATCGTATGTCTATTCCTCCTAGAAGAGATTATGAACCGGCGTAAAGTGAAGTAACAATCTTGCGAATGACAATCTGTCACAATATCACCCAAACTGATAATAAATGGATTCTGCGTAATAGAAAATTGCAGCACCGTAAAAAGTGGTCAAGATTAGGCCACTGGTGAGAGTATCCAAAAGATCAGTCATGGAACGTCTTCAAAACATCAAAGCAGGCCCACTCTTCAGGATTCGCCTACACCATCGTTAGTATGGATAAAGCAGGGTCTACTTGCATTGCGACACAATGGTTCTTAGCCTACCTATATCATACAAACGGCAAATGACATTAGATTCTAATGACCTCCAGCAGGAGCATGTTCACCAGCAAAAAGGGAAGATATGTCCAAATTTATGCAATAGCGGGCTTGAAGGAATGGCTTTATTACTCTGTATGAAGACCAGATATGATGCTACTGAATCCCCTTGTCGTCTAAGATGTCGAGGCAACAAGGCACCAATAATGCAAACCATGCAAACTGGTTGAAAAACGTCCTTCGAACTTCGGCCGGCGTTTCACATTTCTTCATCAACCAAGCAAGGTATTATTTTAAATGACTGGATCTCCCTTTGCTACACACAACAATTATGTTCCCGAATTTGGTCTATTATCTCCCAAGTCCTGGAGGATTTGTATGAGCAGCAGAAACTACATATCAGCTGTAATGCCAAGACGCGGACCAAGAGAGACGGAATTTGGCTGTCTTGGATTGTTAGAGGATCAAACACAAGAATAGAAAGAATATCCACCCGCTAGATAGGCCTAGACCTAGTTTGCTTTTCCCATGCCTATCTACCTATGACTGGTAGTTTGTTCGAGGCATCAAGGGTTTGGGACCACTGGATTACGCAATGAGGATACCCGTCCCCTTTGATGTGCACGCCTATTGTCCTCCGATTCGACACATCTTCCTCGATCAGCTTGACAGTGCAGGAACAATACTGCCACGCCAATCTACGCGGGCCCCTTATTTTCCACTGCATGCCGATCTCTGCTCAGGGTCTTCAGCATACTCATACTCCGTACAGGAATTTGAAGTCGGAAGGGCTCGAAGAATGAGGGTTGCGCGGCTTGCGCCTTACCAACTTCTCGTAAGCAGGCATAGAAAACAATCGTGCTAGAAGCTCCTTGCAGTGCTTTTCTTAGACAATCAGTCGCAA